TAATTGGATTTTGGAGGTCTTTGGAGCCTTTGTGGGTGGGAATTCATAAGCCAGGCAACAACTCGATCCGGAGGATCATTGTTGGCTATAGTGGTCAAACTGCGGATAGTAGCTTATACGGCTCTTGATGCTTGCGATCGTTGTAGTTAGGGTATCTTGGCAAGCGAACCAAACGTTCGATCTAAACTGACTCATTGGTTCGGTTCGATTAAAGCGTCGTTACGTGCTCGGTTTAATTAACTAAACAAACAAACTTGAACAACTATTTTAAATACTCGATTCTTAAATAAACAAGCTGAACACTAATGCGTTCGACTCATTTTATGTTCGCAACAACATCCATTTGAAGTTCATGGAACAAGCTCGACATTAAGCTCGTAGTAAGTAACTCGAATATAAAAGCTCGATTCGTGTTCGAATTTTGAACTCTGTGAATAAGCTTGATAAAAATAATTAATATTTGATAATAGAATTAATAAATATAATAATAAATACTTTTATATTTTATTATAATATAATGATATAATTATATAAATGTGTTTGTTCATAGCTATGTTCATGAACGTGTTTGTTTGATAGTTAAAAAAAAAATTCTGTTTAGATATGTTTGCGAACATGCTCGATGAATCGTTTGTTAGGAAGCTCGATAAAGCTTATTTGTTAAGTAATGAATATCTAAAAATAGAGCTCGTTTATGTTTGTTTGTTTAAAGCTCGATAAGCACTAAACAACGAACATGAAGCTGAACATGATACCGAATATGAAACACTTATTAATTTAAATGAACTAAACATGAGAACAAACAATAAAAGCTCGAAACAAACTGACCAAATTTGAACACCTTGATATTTAATGAACACATAACATGATAGGAATAACTCACATACTTGACTCGGCTCGGTTCGTTGTCAACCCTAATTGTAGTCGGACAACTATGGTCTTAAGGACAATAATTGTGCGATAAGAAATCGGAGGATCGTACTAGGACAATGATGATCATGTGGATAGTAAGTCAAACAGTATTGGTCTAGGGGATTGCAGTAGAGTGATGGTGGTCTAAGGACAGTAGTTGGGTGATGAATATTGATGGGACTGTAGTTGGTGATGTGGTCGAAGGGACTTGATCGACGTCGATCAAGGTTAGAGGAAATATAATTGGGTACAGAGATTGGTGGGATCATAGGTCACGGAATGTGGGTCAGATTTAGTGTAAACACTATCCAAATTTGGTATTCAATGTTTAACCTGTTTTGACCTGATTTCAAGAAGCTAAGAATGTAACTTAGGAAGGGGATAAGATCCCAATATAGTGAGGAGGTATTATAATTTCAAAGTTAATTATTATTTTTATCCTTTTTGTTTATATTCTTTTATATTGTTAGGAGGAAAGAAAGAATTAAAATGATATTGTATTAATTGATTTCAACTTATTGTAGCTATGAATTTTAAAATAAGAATGAAATTGCAAATTGAAGTAAAAAAGATATGATTATGCTGCGTTCCCTATTTATTGAAAATGGAGGTTCGTAGACGTGGTAGGATTATATTTGAGGGTTAAAAAAATAGTAATTCTTTCAAATTATTATGGTGGACGTGCCGAAGGAATCGACTAGTGAAAGGTCCTATGACGAAGGTGGCTGAGCTGCCAGGATTTCCGTCAGTGGTTTGTATTTGGATGGAGCTCTAAGGATTCTCAAGCATTAAAAGCTCTAAGATCATCTAGCCCAATGTCTAAGTCTCTCCAAAGGTCCGCCTATATGTAGAGAGTAGGGGGTCTCTTATAAATTTTGAGAATGGGATTGCTTCTATAAATATGGAGAATTGGTTTCGAGCAAATTCCGGAGGGTTCCATCAGATGTCACAATATGATTTCTCTTGTATCATGGAATATATTTTATGAATTTCTAAGTTATCTTAATGATGTTATAACTTAATGCGATTGGGCTCAGTGATTTTGTAGCATTATATGGGCTCAATATCGTACCTATTTGCATTGCAATTTTGCATATCATCGTTGATCATTTAATTAAATGTTATGAAGCTTTTGCAAAATATATTTGAGAGCTCTTGATTGTGGGCTCTACGGCTTCAATTTTGATCGATTGGGGCTGTTAGTTCGTCTCGATTGAGAACGTATACAATTCAACTTTACATTTCCCGAAATCCAAATTCGGATGGTCTCATCAAATTTATAACTTTGAAAGCTTATTTATTTAACTTCCTCGAGAATCATGTTAGATCAAAACTTTTTTTCTTTGACATGTGAAAATTCCAAATTTGTATTATTGAGTTTTAATTTAATTTATTTAAAGTAACTATATTAAATTTTTTAAAATTAATGTTATGCATG